ACACTTTTGATGCATGTAGGAAGCAAAATTTCATTATGAAAGCAGCTTTATTATGGACAATAAGTGACTTTCCAGCATATGGAATGTTATCTGGTTGGAGCACTCATGGGAGACTTGCTTGCCCCTATTGTATGGAGCATAGTAAATCATTTTATCTAAAACATGGAAGGAAATGTTGTTGGTTTGATTGTCATCGTCAATTATTGCCCATTGATCATCAATTTCGTCGTGATCGACACTCTTTTAAGAAGTCAACAGTGGTAAAATCTTTACCTCCACAAGAATTTAATGGCATGGATGTCTTAAATATGGTGAATCAACTTCATTCTATCACTTTTGGCTTGAAGGCACCCAAACAACAACAACCTGGCTTTGGTACAAGGCATAATTGGGTGAAGAAAAGCATATTCTGGGAATTACCTTATTGGTCCACTAATCTAATACGACACAATTTGGATGTCATGCATGTTGAAAAAAATGTGTTTGACAATATCTTCAACACTGTCATGGACATAAAGGGAAAGACGAAAGACAATGCAAATGCAAGAGCTGATTTGAAAGATATTTGTAAACGCCCAAGTTTAGAGTTGATATTTGAGAATGAAATGTATAAAAAGCCAAAGGCGACATATGTCTTGAATGATAATCAAAGAAAGAAAGTGTGTGAGTGGATAAAACAATTAAAATTTCCAGATGGATATGCATCTAACATATCACGTTGCATTAATATAGATGAAGGAAAGATATATGGAATGAAAAGTCATGACTGTCATGTTTTTATGCAAAGACTAATTCCTTTGGCATTTCGTGATATGTTGCCAAAGCCAATATGGGGAGTATTAACAGAACTCAGCTTGTTTTTCAAAGAAATTTGTGCACATGAGATACGTACTTCTGTCATGGACAATGTTAAGGTTTCCATTATTGAAACAATTTGCAAGCTTGAAAAGATTTTCCCGCCAGCATTCTTTGATTCCATGGAACATTTAATTGTGCATCTCCCTTATGAAGCCAAGGTTGGAGGACCAGTGCAGTACAGATGGATGTATCCATTTGAGAGGTGCATGTTGTACTTGAAAAAGAAGGTTCTATAAATGTCTTGTCCTCTTAAAATCATAACCTTTTTAGTTGGACATTGAGAAGCTATGTGGCCTCTCCCAAGACATTTAAAGCATTTGATGTCACTAGTTTTACTACTAGAAGTGACAACATTTTTATTTTTATCTTTTTCTTTTTCTTTTTCTTTTTCTTGACCCTTACTAAAGATTTTAGAAGAGTTATATTGACCCTCCCTCTTGTAGTCCTTCTTGATATAAGAGCTAGCTTGAGTTTTACTTTTAAAAGAAGGTTTTCGCAAATGTTGTTGTTCCACCCTTATACAAAGTTGGACCAAATCATCAAGGTCCCTATAAGGGAGTAACTCAACCTTATCTCTTATATCAAAGTTAAGGTCACTTAAAAACCTAGCAATGGTCAATCTTTCTTCTTCCCTTATCCCAGCCCTCATGAGATACAACTCCATCTTTTGTCTATACTTCTCCACACTCATGTTCTTTTGTTGGAGTCTTTGGAGCTTATCCATAAGCTCCCTACTATAATAAGAAGGTATATGCCTTCTTCTCATAGCACTCCTCAATTCATTCCAATAAGCAATAGGAGGGTCATTATGAAGTCGCCTTTCTCTTACCAAGATTGTCCACCAATACATAGCTTGTCCTTGGAAAGCTAAGGTGGCTAAGGGAACTTTTCTTTCTTCACCTACTTGATGACAAGTGAAGATTTGCTCCACTTTCATTTCCTAGTCCAAGTAGGCATCTACATCTTATTTTCCATGAAAGTAAGGAAGATCAACTCTTGATTCCCTAACTTTGGGTTCCTTAATGACTTTTCTAGGCATGGGTTGGTAATATGCATCTACATTCAAACTAGCCACATCCTCTTGACTTGTGGAGCCATTGGAACTCTTAGAGGAACTCTTTTGACTCTTTTTCCTTTTAAGTTTTTCCAAAAGTTTTGCTTCTTGTTGCTTAATTTTGTTTATCTCTTCCTCAAGAGCAACAAGTTGTACTTCCCTTTCAATCTTTTCTTTTTCTTTTTGAAGTACCTCTTGTTGTCTCCATAGTTTTAGTGCCTCAACCTCCTTAACAATTTGATTAAAACTTTTAGGAGATTCAATGTCACTATCACTTTGAGAAATATGACTCATGATTAAGCAATAAGAAGTTTATATGCAATGCAAAGAAAACAAAATATTTTTATCTTTTCTAGGAACAAAAATAGCACTTGGAAGTCTATGTGTACAAATTGCACTATCAAGGGATGTGATCTACTAAGAGCCACTTAATAACCAAGCCTTTTCAAGTGGAAATCACTAAACTCCCTTGTGGTATTTTCAATTCCACAAAAATTTTCACAAAAGTTTTTATGTTGAATGCTTTTCACAATTGTTTTTGAATGTTAACTAGACGTGAACAAGTAATTCTACACAATGCTAGACGAATTAGAGCAGTAAAGTAAACACTTTAAAGAACAAACAACTCAAAGGAAACAAGTTTAAGTAACTAGTCGTTATGCCCTAAGTGGAAGCTTGAAACATATGAAATTTCCAAGCCACTTCCACTAGTACTACATGTGAGTGAGCTACCAAGGGTTAGATATACCTGACCAGCTTCTTAATACTCCCTCCAAGCTTTACAAATTGATTAAAAAAACAAGAGAAATTTCAAAAATTTAAACTACACTAGAAACAAATTTGTGACGGTTTTAGTGACCAATTAGTGACGAATTTGCTGTCCAAATTTTCCAACACTTGTTTAAGTGTTCCAATCCGCCACTAACCCTTGATTTTGGTTGCTCCTAGACCCTGCACAAATAACACAACAAAGTGATGAATGTAGGCTGCTCACAAGGTTAATGGAAAGATCACTCTTGTGAAGGTAGGTTTAGAAAATTTTGGTCACTAAATTAGGTAAATTTCAAAGTATTTTATGTCCAATTCTTTTCCTACTTTTTGTTGAGTAGATCTTTGAAACTTTAGCAAATGCTTTGCTATCTATAACATTTTTCTAGACCTGTCACGGGTATTTCCAAATCCACTGGACCACAACTAATTTGCTTACAGTACTATAACTGTTGCTGGTCCAAAGGATTTTCACAAATAGCAAAAATAAGAACACTGGAGCTTTATAACCCAAAAAAAGTGTAGATTATCCGCATGCTTGTATTTCCATCAGTCCAGTATCAAAAGGATGTTTTCCCGGAGTCACCTAGTAACATGCTCCTCTGTCTGCATGCATTGGAATTCATGTAAACAGATAGCCATTCACAGACTATAATTTCATCAAGTAAAGAAAATTCATGTTAAGGTTTCCAATCAAATACAACTCATAGTGAAGAGTACAACTTTATCATAACAATTAAATATTAAAGAGTACAATAAACAGACAATTAATGGAAAACAAAATAGAAAGAATAGTAACAACTAACAAGAATGGAAACTAAAACTTTTTCAAGAGAACAAAATCAATTTTGAGGTTTACAACTATTGATAATCTAAAAGTGGCTCCAAATTTATTAATCAAGGTTGCAATCATTCTGTTGTTTATACTTTAAAGCACAATCTTCTGTCCCAAGAGTCAAGCATATAAAAAACAAGAATAATATTTTAATTTTCAATTAACTTATCCTGGAAGTTACGGTTTCGAGTAGACCGCTTTACTTGTGTTTCCAAATTGCAATGATAGCCAGATCAGCAAAGGAGTAAAGCATAAATAAATCAAATAACTTGAACAGAGCGTGTGTGTGAGAGTGTATCAATGGAAAAGAGAAAAAATCAAGCTTCTTTACCTTCCAACTATGTCACTCTCGCTCAACTACAAGAGCGATGGCTCGAGCAACAAGCCCAAACCAACCAAGAAGAAGAGAAACCGCTACCTCCAAACCAGAACCAGAACCACCATAAGGTTGTAGTCGCTTCCACTAGCGGAACCGCTTCTAGGTCTCTTCCTCAGAAGCACTGTGTCGTTAAGACTCGGAACGATTCCGCAACTCACTGCAACTCGGAGTCTACCACCGGAAACGCAACCGACTGTTTGCAAATAAAAACATAGAGTTGAATATGTTCACTGAAATGCCCCATGGAAAAAACAAAATGTAGCTGACAGCGCAATAAAAACATATGGAGTATTCATTATCAGTTACAAAATTTACACCTTCAAATAATAGATACGGTGATTGAGTTGAGTACCTGGACCTTGCGGGCGGTGGTTTGAGGGAGGCGGTCCGGTTCGGCCTGGTTGACGGCAGCGAGGAAGAAGGGCGGAACAGATGAACGGCTTGGGTTTGAAGAAGAGTGGAGAAGTAGGGATTGGGAAG